CAACAAAATAAGATTTTTGTGAAGAGTTTGGCAAGATGATGGTGAGTGAGTTTGAGATGTCCATGATTGGAGAGCTTAGTTACTTCCTTGGTCTTCAAATCAAGCAAATAAAGAATGTCATATTTGTGAGTCTAGGCAAGTATATCAAGGACATGCTCAAGAAGTTTGGGATGGATGATGCTAAAGCTATTAGTACATCAATGGGGACAAGTGGAAGCTTGGATAGTAATGCTAGTGGCAACATGGTGGATCAAAAGATGTATCGGTCTATGATTGGAAGCCTACTCTATGTGACCGCATCAAGGCATGATGTTTAGTGTATGCATGTGTGCTAGATTCCAAGCCTCACCAAGAGAAAGTTATTCGAAAGCAACAAAGATAGTATTAAGGTACTTGAAGCATACATAAAATGTTGGATTGTGGTATCCCAAAGGAGCAAGATTTGAGTTGATTGGATATTCAGACTCCGATTATGCGGGATGCAAAGTTGAGAGAAAGAGCACATTGGGCACATGTCAACTATTGGGAAGATCACTTGTGTCTTGGTCATCAAAGAAGCAAAATAGTGTAGCACTTTCAACCGCCGAAGCGGAGTACATTTCGGCCGGTAGTTGTTGTGCTCAATTACTTTGGATGAAGGCTAATTTGAGTGATTTTGGAATCAAATGTCAGCAAGTGCTATTGCTATGTGATAATGAAAGTGCCGTAAAGCTCACCAACAACCTGGTTCAACATTTAAGAACAAAGCATATTGATGTCCGCCATCATTTCATAAGAGATCATCAACAAAAAGGGGACATTTGCATTGAGAGTGTGGGCACCGAAGATCAACTTGCCGATATCTTCACCAAGCCACTTGATGAAAAGAGGTTTTGCAAGCTAAGGAATGAATTAAACATACTTGACTTCTCAAATATGTGTTGATGCACCTCCCATTATATGACATGCCTCCCCTTCAAGCAACTCTAGGTAAAGTTGATTGACATGTCATCCATCCATTGCTAAGGACTTGTTTAGTGCATCTAGTTATTCCTATCATGTCCTAGGCTCATTCATGAAAATCAAATGAATTTGACGCTTGTATGGTACCACTATTACTTGTATGGTTGAAATGATCTAGTGGTAGCATATGACATGTTTGTGGGCTTGTAAACCTAGTGTTTGATCTAGAAAATAAGCTATAAGTGTTTAACTCAACATGGTACAAGATAACCCTTATTTAGAGGTGTGGAGAAGCTTGTCCTTGGATCAAACCGAGTTAAATATCTTTTGCAAGTAATCTAGATTGAACCCAATTAGAAACATGATCCTCACTTCACATGGTTTCACCCCAACCTATCTAAAATTTGAGCCATCCCTTTATGCTAATTGTTGACAAAGGGGGAGAGAAATTCACAAAGATAGTAAGATAGGGGGAGCAAACAAATAAAATGACATTGTAAGGGGATCAATCAAAATTATACACAAGTAGGGGGAGCAAGCTCATAAACTTGTATGTTGCATTTGAATGTGCATTTCATATATCTGCTTGCATGGCACAAGTTCTAAATTTCAATATCCATGCTTGTGTGGTGTATGCTAGTTATAGGCTTGAATGATGAAATGAAAAACTAGCATGCATAGGTTAAAGTAACTAGACTTATGTCCATTCTATGGAAACTAGACCCTTGCTTGTTATGTTGATCTCATGGGGTATTCTAGTTTTTGTGTATGTCTAGTTACTAATGGTGCTAAGGATGGTATATTGGTGCACTCCGATTAGTATCACGCTTCAAAGGTCCATCTCTTATACCATAGCATCATTTGGTAGAAATTGTCTCCTATATTTCCTATCTAAGCATATGTGCAAGCTACAATCCAAACTCTTAGCACATATGTAGGGGGAGCAATTGCTACCATTTGGAGTTCATGAAGCTTGTCCATATTTTTTACACATGGTAAATATGCTTTGGCAAGCAATGTGGATTCAATTAAAATCTTAATTCATATCTTTGTGTAAGGGGTGTCATCAATTACCAAAAAGGGGGAGATTGAAAGCTCTAGTTTGGTTTTGGTTAATTAATGAAACCCTAAGTGCTAACCTAGTTTATCAAAGTGATTATGAGATAGGTAGCACTGCTCCAAGTGATGAAGCAATGGTGAAGATCATGATGTTGGTGATGGCATGGTAATGATCAAATGCTTGAACATGGAAATAAAGAAAGAGAAAAACAAAAGGCTCAAGGTAAAGGTATAGATAGTAGGAGCCATTTTGTTTTAGTGATCGAGACACTTAGTGAGTGTGATCACATTTAGGATCGATAGCCGTACTATTAAGAGGGGTGTAACTCGTATCGAAATGCGGTTATCAAAGTGCCACTAGATGCTCTAACTCATTGCATATGCTTTTAGGATCTAGTGGAGTGCTAACACCCTTGAAAATGTTTGTGAAAATATGCTAACACATGTGCACAAGGTGATACACTTGGTGGTTGGCACATTTTAGCAAGGGTTAGAAACTTCACCGGTGGAGTGTCCGCCCGTAGAATGCTGGGTCACTTAGTGACCGGACGCTGACAGGGTGCGTCTGGTCCTGCTGACGCGGCAGCGCACAGAGGAGACCCCGAGTGACCGGACGCTGGGTGAGTCCGGTCGGGCATGACCGGACGTCATGATTTTTCGTGAATGGAAGCTTGCTGGAAACGACTGGACGCTAAGGTCCAGCGTCCGGTCACTTCGCAACAGCACGTCTAGTCATCACTTAACCGTTGGGATCGGGCGCTCAGTATTTGAAGAGAGGGGACACGTGGGGTGCATCGCACGACCGGACATTGGGGTCCTGCGTCCGGTCGATATGATCGAAGCGTCCGGTCGCCTCATGTTTAGTGCAGTGAGTAGCCCAACGGCTCTATTTCGTGGAAGTTTCTATTTAATCCCCATGGACGGCTCAAGCTCACTCTCTTGGCCATTTGCATTGACATAGCAACCCTGTGAGCTTAGCCAAAGCCCTCCCACTCATCTCCATCATTGATCCATCATCATTGTGAGATTGAGAGAGAATCCAAGTGCATTGCTTGAGTGATTGCATCTAGTGACACTTGGTATTCGTGTTTCGCTGTAGGATTCACTTGTTACTCTTGGTGGTTGCCGCCACCTAGACAACTTGGAGCAGCGAGGATCGTTGAGTGGAGGTTGGTGATTGTCTCTGGCTCCGATCGTGGTGATTGTGAGGGGTCTTGTGCCTTCCCCGGCGGTGCGCCGAAAGGTAACTCTAGTGGATTGCTCGTGTCATTGAGTTACCTCACTTGTGAGTAGGTTCTTGCAGTGTCCAATTATGTGGACGAGGTTCGTGCAACACCTCTTAGCCGCCGAACCACCAAGTGTTGGTCGACACAACGGGGACTAGCGTGCCGGCAAACACGTGAACCTCGGGAGAAATATTGGTTGTCTCTTGCCCTTTGGTATTCTCCTGGTGATTGATTTAGTATTCATCTTGTGATTAATTCACTCCTCTACACGGCGATATAATCACCCTACTCACTCATTTATATTCTTGCAAACTAGTTGTAGCAAGTTCTTTAGTGTAATTAAAATTGAGAGCTTGCTTTGTTGTTTTAAGTTCATCTAGTGGAGCTCTTTAGTGTAGCAAGTGTGAGAGCTCTTAGTGAGTAGTGACATAGCAAATTGTGTGTTTAGAGATCATAACAACTAGAATTGTTGGATAGGTGGCTTGCAACCCTTGTAGAGCTATAGCAAGTTTGCATTTCGCTATTTGTTATACTAATCAAATTGCTCTAGTTGATTTGTAGATTTTTAAATAGGCTATTCATCCCCCTCTAGCCATATTAGGACCTTTCAACGGGGCCTACGTGTGTTCATTGGAACCACGTCAAGGGTAGCTGATGCAGTACCACTTTGACTCAGTAAGTGGAGAGGGGAGTGACGATTTGAAGCAAGAACTGAATGAGGTCAAGCAGACACTGGACAATGTTGTAAGTAAAGTTTAGAAATTGAAGAAACAATTTGGTGATCCTATTTAGGATTTGGGCATTAGGAAGATGCAACTTGTGTTGGATGTCTCTGTTGTAGCAGGTGTAGTTGTTGGTGTAGTATTAGGTGTATTTGTTGCACAAATGTGGAAGTGAATGTAATGGAGACTCAATGTAATCCTAGGTGCCTTAGGGACTCAACGTAATGGGATGTGTTCTATATTTGCATGAAGGCTAACCCTTGAATGAATGAATGAAATATTCAAATATCTGAGCTACTTTGTCAATCAATAAGAGCATTGGTTTCTCTGATTTTGTGCTTCACTGAATAAGAGCTGCATTTTGTCTAGATCTTAGCAACATTTTGGCACAAGTTGACACACTTGAGCAGCATGTTCACTGAATATGAGCACAAGTTTGATAGAACCTAAAAATCTAAGGCCCTGTTTCGTTGGGTTTTTGGTTGTGGCTTTTGTCTCCAAAAGCCAAAAGCTCAACCAAAGAGCTCAAAAGCACCTGCTGCTTTGGGCCAAAAGCCAAAAGCAGCTTTTGGCCCCTGGTGAGCTCGGGCATCCCCTGGTGGCGAGAGGAAGAAGAAGATTCAATGTGTGCATGACATGTGGAGCCTGCTTGTAAGTGAGACTAGCTTTTTCGAAAGCATAGCTATTCAACCAAACGGGCTTTTTCAAAAGCCACTGTTCATATTCCACAACAGTTTTTCAAAAGCCATAACCTACAACTACTTTTCTAAAAGCTACCGCTCAACTAAACATGGCCTATGCAGTAGTCCATTCACCAAATATGAGCAATGACCATAATAAACAAGTAGAAGTGGCAATTGTTTTTTGATGGAAGTAGAAGTGGCAATTTGTTCCTCATTTTTGCTCCACCTACCATTACACACACAAAGAATCACGTGTCAACGGAGCAGACGGTACTCCGTTGATCCTCTGATCTCCACCGTTGCTCTACACCTCCGAGACCGAAATAGCTGGACGGGGAAGGAACGCGAAACAAGCCACGCTACGCAAGATGCACCGGAACCCTCGCGCCGTCATCCGCGCCGCCGTCTCCCTCACCCTCCCGGCCGCCGCCGCCGCGGCGGCCCTCCAAACCCTGCCTAAAGCGACGCCCTCGCCCGCGCTTGGAGCGTGGCGGCCACTCCCGGAGGCGGCGCCGTTGGGCAGCGTCAGCCGCCGACGTGCCTTCTCCTCCTCCGCGGCGGACTACGGCAAGGACGTGGACGACGTGAACCGCAAGTTCGCGGAGGCGCGGGAGGAGATCGAGGCGGCCATGGAGAGCAAGGAGACGGTCTACTTCAACGAGGAGGCCTCCATCGCGCGCGACGCCGCCAACGAGGCGCTCGCCGCCTTCGACGCGCTCCTGGCGCGCCTCCCGCCCGCCGACGCCGACGCGCTCCGCCGCTCCATGGGGCTCAAGATGGAGCAGCTCAAGGCCGAGCTCAAGCAGCTCGAGGACTAGGCTGCCGAAAGGTTTGAGTTTTGGGAGAAAATTTGAGCGGAATGTTTGGTTATAGACATGTTCTTTTGAGATTGAGATTCCTAGGTGTTCCGATTGGTGAATAAATTTAGCCCAACAATCTGTTGCATTGCCAGTTTGTTCTTCATGGTGAGAGAACCGGAGCTAATTTGTCATGTGTGCCTGGTTTAACACCCTGCCCTGATTGGCCACCCTTACATTGATTTTGATAGGAGAAGCTAAACTAATGCGTTCCTGTGTTCGGATTAAGCTTCATTTGCATTTATTCTTGCCTAATTAATGTCTAGTGCAACATGGATACTTCATTGCTCAGTAAAAGTTGCCCATGGTATTGGCAAAATTTTGAGCTACTTTGTCTTGTGTCCCTGAAATCAGGTTCTTCTAAACCTTACATCGATACACATTTTACTGAAAAATAGGAAAAGCTAGACCATTGATGCTTCTCCTGTGCAAACACTGAACTGCATTTGCATGCATGCTTGCTCTTAATGCTTCATGCTCTTTTCAGAACTTGAGGTATTTATCTTCAAGGCTTAAGTGAAGGAATGAAGCCATGTGAGATGACTTAAAGCTATAAGCACTTAAGTATCATGTATTTAAGTGATATATTGTTTGAAAAAACTGCTGATGAATCAGTGATTAACTTCTAATCAGCATTATAGATTTTATGCTATCAGCTCTAACTATCATGGCTTCTTGGGCTATCGTTTGGACAAATTGGTATATGCATGAGTCATGATGCCTTGTGGTATCTATTTTTCAACTCTGGTTTTGTATAAATATGGTTACCCTTGGAATGAAGGCACCATTTTTTATATGCTGCTGCAGAACATTTGAATGATAAAGTTACCAATTTAAAAATGGAAATTTGTTACAACACCGGGCCTAAATGGTTTGCACATGTGCTACTCTAATCCTCAAATGGGATATTGCCTCTAGACTGTCTCTTCTCTGATTCTCTCTAACTCGGGCTATGCACATCCTCAAATGGCTCCGCTGGTAAAGCAAATCATCTAAGCCCTGCACCCTGACAAGAAGGCGTGAGCAACTTCTTTCTGGTTGAGGCTACACAGAGGTGTGTGGTTTGTGCAGCCAGGAGGGTGGATAGAACCATGGAGGTGTGACCAAAGAACATGGAGGGCATAATGAAGGTGAAGATGCAGGGAGAAGGAGAGGGTGTGGACCTTAGAGATTAGATCAACATGCTTATGGAGAAATCCCTTTTATATCACCATTATGTGAATCACATGTGTTCAAGTGCATGTATTTTGTCTTGGCATGGAATGCAGGAGCTGAAGGTGGACAGTCTGAATTTCTGGATGCTACCTTTTCTTCTGAATTTCTGATTTAACAATTGGTTAGTCTGTAGTCAAGTTTCAGAACATGTGAATTTGACTGCAAACCTGCCCTTCAAGATGGCTGCAGATACTTCCTGAACTCTATGGTTCTAAAGATAACACTTATTGAACTGAGCCTCCTAGTACATGGGCACATGACTCATGTAGTTTAACTTTACTCAGGAAAAGATACAGCGATATGGTTTTGTATTTTCCTTCATCACAAAATGCCATGTGAAACTGCTTTGCTACAAAAACTTCTGTAAATCCGTTTTCCTTCATCACAAAATGCCATGTGAAACTGCCTTGCTACAAAAACTTCTGTAAATCCGTTTTCCTTCATCATAAAATGCCATGTGAAACTGCCTTGCTACAAAAACTTTTGTGAATCCGTGTACAACTCAGTTGACAGAGTGGCTCATGGGGATTAGTGAGCGCTCTCTTTACTCTTGAGCTCCATCGGTTGTTGATTAACAGAACTTGTGGCTCGGATGCTCTGAATTATACTGTCTGCTCGCATTCTCAAGGCTTCGGAGTTTTTTTAGTAGAATAGTACGAGAATACTAAAGGAATTCCTTTGTTGTTCCAGCATTTAGATGCTGCTCCGTCTCAGCATTTGGAGGGATGTCAAGGAATCAACTCCTCTAGGAAAACCGAGGACGGAACAATAGAAAGCAAGTTTCAATCTGCAATATGATCTGACATTTATAGTTCAGCTGAAGAACTGGATGCTTCCTACCTTGTCCAGTGTGGTTATCTGTCACCACAGCTCAGTTTCCACTATGATTTTAGTAGAAATTTGGTGGCAACTCCAGGTGCTGGCATGATATAGTATTTGGATAACATTGGAATCTTGAATCGGAACGTTTGTTCTGCGAGAATCATTTATCGTTTACCTGCTGCGACTGGATTCATGATTCCAATGTACGCTTGTCATGAGATTGCTGTACTTTTGATATACGTTTGCTGTAGTGCTATTTGTTACCTGACGCTTTGGATTTGTGAACTTTTCCATCTATGGTGATAAAAAACTTTGGATGAGAATTGAAAAATGCCAAAATCAAGAGTTGGAACTATGCTTTAAGTGCACCAAAGCATTTGAACTAATCTTCTAATATTCTCCTTACTTTGTGCTTGTGAAGTACATAATCAGGCAGTCCAAATATCTGAAATCCTTCAAATGGTCATGCGCATTGCGGACATAAGGAAGCCTATTAGCACATGGTCATGTGCATTCGTCATAGGAAAACCTATTAGCACCTGGACATCAAAATCGAAGTGGCGCAGCGGAAGCATGGTGGGCCCATAACCCACAGGTCCGATCGAAACCTGGCTTTGATAATTTTTATTTCATATGCTGTTTTTTTTTTTATTTTGCTGAGGTCGTTTTTTTTTCATTTTGCTGGCTTCTTTCGTTTTGCCGAGGTCGTAGGAAATATTTTTGGACTTCCACAATTTATTATTCTTTCTCATATGATGGAATTTTCTTTTTGCTGAGGTCGTAGGAGGAAAATCATCCCATGAATAGAATTAGATCAGCAGAAATATGAAGAAACACCTTTTATAGCACCATTATGTGAACCACATGTGCTGAAGTGGCATATGTTTTGTTTTGTTTTGCATGGAATGCAGGAGCTGAAGGTGGACTCTCTGAATATATGAAGTATGAGTGCTACTTTTTCTCTTGAATTTCTGATTTCACAATTTGTTAGTCTTTAGTCAAGTTTCAGAACACGTGAATTCAACAGCAACTTGTCCTCCAAACTGGTTGGTACGTTGTTGCTGATACTTTCAAAATTTTATGGTTCTATATATGAAGATAACACTTAATGAACTGATACACGGCTTGTTGATTTTATATTTGCTCACACAAATTAAAGATAACACTGCCAAAGCCTACCGCACCTCGGACACCTCACTTTTGTCTAGCGTTTTGCTTCGTAGCCAGAGTTGTGGCGTTGCCGCAGCTTATCAACACAAGGCCAAAACACACCAAATGTTTGGTGTGTTTTGGCGGGCAATTTGATTGCCAAACTTTCTACGCGGCCGCAGTTTGGGCGTGGTATGCCTAGGCGCCGTCCAAACAGGCCCTTCCTTCGTCACAATGCCGTGTGAAACTGCCTTGCTACTAGGACTTTTGTGAATCGGTCCGTCAAGAATTCAGTGGTTCATACATGTAAGCGAACGATTTGACCAATGACTAGTATTATACTCTTGAGCTCCCATGGATTGGTTAACAGAACGTAGTGAATCAGATGCTCAGAATTACATTATCTGCTCTCATTCTCCAATGTTCATACTTTCTATAGTAGAATAATACAAGAATACTAAATGAGCTCCACACTGCTTCAAAAAAAAAAAAAGAGCAACCATATCAGCGGCGAGCCGGAATTGAGTGGACGGAGTTGTCCCCCTATCAGCGCCGTCGCTCTTCTGTTTCAGGCACTACCATATGTTAAATAGCAAAATGGTAGCCATCAGGGAGTCCGTACGCAAGATTAGTAAATTGAGGACAAGGGACGCCAGTGCCCGAGCAGCGAGCTTCAGCCACCGCTCCCTGCCGTGCTGGAGAGGCAGCCGCTGCCCCCGCGCATCCAGCCGCCTGGCGAACAACGTGAGCGCGACGACCGCCGCGTACGAGAGAGGGCGATGAAGGCCTGCAGCCACAGGCGCCGAGGTTCCTCACGCCGTTGCACGACAGCACGAACTGGCTCGCGACGAGCACGCACTCGGCCGTCGCCTTGATGACATGGAGCAGCTGCCCCCGGCCCTCGGACGCGGTCGCGGCGGCAGCGGCGGCGGCGTTGTTGGAGTCCATGGAAATCGATCGAGAGCTTGCCGTTTTGCGCTTGTGAGGCCACGGGCTCTGGATCGAACTGCTAGTTCATCTGATCATCTATATATAACATATACGGCGCCGGATTTAATCAACCAAGACTTTCGCCGTCGTCCAGGTTTGACTATGATGATGGCAGCCGTAATTCGTTGAGGGCAGCTGGCGTACGTCTCCGATCCCACGCGGCATCGCTGGCAAGTCGTTCGTGGAGACGAGAAGATAGACCATGGCGCACAACGTCGATTTTCCCATGTGCAGCGGTCTGATTATTCTTCCGTCTGTTTAGTGTAGTCGCAACGTAGAAGATATATTGCAGTTCAAAGCGTACGACGAGACTTTCTCTTTCGGTGTCATCGATTATTGAAGAATTCAAATGTCCACGTCGTACATACGTACTCCCCCGTTCTAAATTAGATGTTTTGGTTTTTAAAGATTTATGACTTTTGTTATATAAGATACATATTGTCGGGTTCATAGATCCGAGGTCTCAAATAGACCCGCTTCCCTACAAAACTCGGCCCAACAGGCGACGCAGCGACAACACGTGTCTGGGCCGGCCTAGATACACAATGACAGGTCAAGACCACGATCCGGTCCCCGACCGGCACCTCCGGCCAGGAGATCTGATCGGAGGTGCGACCGGAAGGCCTGGCCATGGTGGGACCGTAGTCCGATTCCGACCCCCTTTCTCCGACCGAGAATACGATAGGACCTCTGCTCGCTCCTCTTTCCCGACCGACATGGTCGAGGATGACTGAGAGCGACCGACCGGGGACGCCCGCTCGATATGGGCCCGGGGAGCAGGCGGAGCAGATAAAGTAAGGCGCTCAAGTTAACCGCAATACCGAGGACCGTACCCTACCATGTCCTGCGCACCTGCAGGGCGGTGCCATCGAGGCATGTCAGGCGAACATGGTAGGGCATGCCAGATGCGTCTGAACATAAACAGTATTATGGACGCCGACGGCCATCCCGTACCCAATGACGTGGGCAACAAAGACTAGACAGCGCCCGTATGAACTCTCTCTTTCTCTCTTACTTATGAGGCCATTCCCTTCAACTATAAAAGAGGATGCGCTCTCTCCTATCAGAAGGATAGAAGCTTCGAACCCCCCGAAGCCCCAAAGACTCGAAGACTCGAGGACTCGAGGGCAACAGCACAACGGCTCTAGAGCTCGACAGCTACACAGTCTACACGCTCTCAACAGCTGATAAGCTCGGACATACAGAGCATACGCTTCGATACTTAGCGCACGTTTGAGCATCCGTCACTCTCTTCCACTCGGCTCAAAGTCCGACCGGGCCTCTAACACCCCTTCTCATTCCTTACTCGTTTGTAACCTCACAGCAAACTTTGAGCACATGGGCTCAGGAATAAAATCACCGATCGACCTCAACTGGACGTAGGGCCTGTTGCCTGAACCAGTATAAATCCTGTATCATTGAGTGCTAGGCCACATCCGATTACAACGCACGGCAAAACTATAAATATTTACTTGTTGGCCATATTTCGCACCGACACATACTAAAATCAATGTATGTAGAAAAGCTAAAACGTCTTATAATTTGGAAGAGAGGAAATAGAAACTAATTTAGCATAATAGGTTTTTAATCTTAACCTAAACATAACCACTAAGGTTGATAACAACCGGTAAATTAACCGGTTGATCATTAGCTTTTCTGCTAACTTAAACATAATGCGGAAAACTTAGAAGATGACTAACTAGCGGCTAGATGTAGATGCCATCTACATGCCTCTCAAGTTAACAAATAGCTGATTGCGAATAGCAGTTGCTATAACGGACAATAAGTTTCAATAACGAAATATTAAAAATGGTTAAAATTTGGAGCATATGTCAATACTAACATTATGTTTCCTTCAAATAGTTAGAATTTTTAAGTTAAGTACTATATTCAATGACATAAAATCGCAAAGAAGCATATACATGAATAAGATATAAAATAGACATGAAGATAAATTATCATTAAATTCTTCTATCATTTGAAAAGGATATCATTAATCTTTATCATGGTCCAAATCACTATCTTAACATTTTTATTACCAATAATGGAATCATCCATAGTGTCACTTGAGCCATTCACATAGCAAATAGCGGTCCAACAATAGCAATAGCGGCTTGCAACACTAGCACATAATAGAGCTTCCCAAGGCGGTCTAAATTGTTTTTCGGAGGTGGGCGGCAGGTCCGCCTGCAACCAAAAGCCTGTGTTAATGGGAATCTATAGAGGCGGGCACAAATACCGCCTGCGTTAATCAAAATCAACGGAGGCAGGCACAAATGCTTGCCTACGTAAACAATTTTAGGAATTAAAAAAGGCCAGCGAGCCCGTGAGATCAGCCACAACCATCACTACAGTGACCTCCTCTAAAACCACAATGGGATGGTGACAGTGACGGAGATGAGAGGACGTCGTTCCAAGAAGGTCTCTCAAGACCGACCGACATGTAGGACCCTCACTCTCTTTTTTAACCTTGGTTCCTCGACTATATAAAAGGTGGTAGGGGCTTCTTCTTCTTCTTAGTCCTTTGACACTTCATATCACCCTCTAAACCTTAAACTCTCTCACCCGTTTATAACCGCTACTGCAAATTTGAGTGTTTGAGCTGAAGAATATGATACACATCCTAATAAACTGGACATAGCGCCTTGGTTTGAATCGGTATAAATTCCGAGTTCTCCAAGTGCTAAGCCATCCGAACAAACATGTGAACACAAATTTACTAGGCAATACGAAACAGCAACAAAGCCATATTCTAGTAATTACAAAATGGCAATAAAAACAAAAAGAAGTATTTTTCAATCTTGGTGAAGCCCACTAGCTAAGCACCGCAGTCGAGTGTCACAAGTCAATTGTGATCAAGTATTAGATGTTGTTCTTTTGTATTAACTTCTATGATTATTTTATCAAATATTTGGGGACCTAAATGTCCTCATATGAAAAAATAACAATCAACTATAGAGTTTTATATATTGTCCAACACTACAACTTTGATATAGAGCATATTTTCGTCTGTGGCCATTTGAAAAATTCATAAGTTTGGATTTAAGAATATGAGAATGCATATTTACCCCCTAAATGATATAATAAGATAAAAAAATGTGAACTTGAAACTTTTAGATCTCATCAATCTCTACAGGTTTGGTATAAAGATTGTCTTCGTCTTACTACATTTGAAAAAAGTTATAATTTTTTTATGCAGGAACTATTTTTAGGAACGGGCCACCTTACCAAGTGTTTTAAAAATTGATAGCATGGGTGGTTGGTAAGGGGTAATCTGTTAGTTAGGCCCTCTATAACCATTTCCGAGGCCATTTAGAATTACATCTGCCGCCTCTACAAAAGAAGATGAAACCTTTATTAAAAAATTGTTTATGTGTAGCAGCGACGATATGAGGCCTATGCAATCATATTAATGTATAAATTAGTGTAAGGATATTACACTTACAACGCTTTAATAGCCCGCTCTAAGCTAGCATTAGGTGCCATGTAAAAAAAAAATGAAAGATAGAAAACCTTTGTGCCAACATAAATTGAAAAGTTAGACTAGCTATTTTACAGGCCCAGCAGGGGCGAATCCAAAGGGGGGCTGCCGGGGCTACAATCCCCCTAGTGAGCCTGATTTATTCATTAGACCACGATTATTTAGCCTCAAATCATTATTAATCTCTAGCTCTAGCCCTAAATCTTCATTAGTTAGCCCCCTTTGTTCCCATTCTGCATCCGCCACTGATGTCCAAATGTACACATCCACAATATTTCTTGCATAGATGATAAAAAAAGAGGAAATTTATAGCAAAGGTGGCATGTCTCCACGGAAGAGTCGGCACCTGACCTTTACTTGCAGATGCCCTTATTAGCCACCAGTTGGAGGATACCTCCGTTTGGCCTAATAAGGTCTATATATGGAAGTGGTTTTATTCACAAATCACACCTCAATACTTGATATTGCTTCTCTTCACCACTCTCTTCTTCCTTCTGCACCTTTATGTAAACTTGGTCACCTGACCTAACCCACATGAACATGAACAAAGCGCACGGTGTCACGGAGGACGAGTAGAACACCAACAGGTTGATGATGGTGTGGACCATGAACCGTGCGGCGAGCTTCACCCGCCCCTCCCAGCGTGCGTCGCGGTCATCGGCGGGCTGCAGCCGCCGCCGCTCCAGCCACCCGATGAACCAGATGAGCGCTGCGACCACCGCGTACGCGAGAGCAAGGAGGGCCGGCACGCGCCAGAGCTGGAGCAGCTTATCCTCGTCCGCGTCGCGCGACCCGTCCATGAGGTTCTGGCCGACGATCCTGCAGTAGTCAGAGAAGAGCGCAAGCGCGGCTATAGCACGCAGGCGCGTCCCCGTCAGAGTTCTCTGGCTTCCGCGGCCCTCAGGCGGTGCCAGTGCCGGCAGTTCGTCGTCGTCGGCATGTGGTGGTGGACGCTGCAACTTGGCGGCGGCGTTGCTATCCATGGATAGAGAGAGCGAGGGCGCTGTGCAGTGCATGCTGTGTGTTTGCCGCGTGGTTTTTTTGGGAGGCCAGGCCACCCACTGGCTGCTGCAATTTATGCAGGTTCTGTTGCGTAACAACTAATCTTACGCGTCAACAGTTTGATTTGTTCGACTTCTTCGTTGTCCAGTCTGTGGACGGATTATCTGTGACAAGTACTAGCTCAGAAATTTTGTGACAAGTAGCGCAGAAACTGAGATAGGCGTCACTGGGTCAGCGTGTTTGTCCACGCGAAACCACGAGGATCCGTAGAATCCCCATGCCAGTACTTCCACAGGGAAATAAATTGGACAGAAGCTCCCAACAGCATCGTTGATTTGTCATGCCGACTTCGTTTGGACCAAAGGGTCTATAGACAGCAAAATTAAGCCTGTGACTCTTCTTCTGTTTATTTGTACCCACTTTATCTGTTTCGCTGATGGAGAGAGAGCGAGCATCTCAGCTTTGGACTCTATTGCTTTCTCTTTTTAATCTATTTTAGGCCTCAACGCAAGACCGAGTCTGGTTAAATCTCAATGTACATCACTGCCGGTGTCATCACTGTCGGATTTGTGAAAATCGGCAGTGATGTATCTTCACTGTCGGTTATGAGCTCGAAAATGAAAAAATGATCGGTGCTGGGCTAAAACCGACAGTGAAGGACCACATCACTGTCGGTTTGTGGCTTAAACCGGCAGTGTTTTGGCGGGCACTCATCACTGTCGGTTTAAGCCAAGAGCCGACAGTGATTGGACACCATCACTGTCAGTTCTAGCCAAGAACCGACGATGATAAGCCTACAACACAAAAATGCTGCAGCCGTCCTCTCCTTCCTCTCTCTTTCATCCTGAGAACAGAGGCGCGCGTTTGGACCCTTCCCTCCATTGTTGCGGCTGCTCTTCACCGTGAAGGTAGTGCTTGGATTTTGAAGAATGGCTTAATCTTTTTGCTTTAAGGTTAGTAACAAACATCCACTTCTTTGATTTTGTTGCTTAATTAGCTTCGTTTTGATGGCTACATTGCTTGATTCTCATTCTAGTTCTTTCTCCATTTTAGAGAGCACTTTTCCAATTGGACATTTGTGTAAGGCTTAAATTGTGGTGAACCCATCATCCAAAAGGTTGGTGTCTATGAACACATTTAAATTCCTATCTAATTATTCCATGGTGGTCAAGATCATCTGTTTACACCAGAATTTAGAAGAAGGATCTCAGAAGCTCGAGAGTTCCCAAAATCTTGTCAGCAATGGATCAATTGTGTGTGGATCGAAACCAGCTGATTCGGATGCAGCACTAGAATCGGCTTTCTTTAAATAGCGCCAGCAGATAACGACAGAGGCTATAATCGGCGCTGGGACGAGACATACTGGACTCTACAAAAAAGGAAAGATTAGAGTCCAAGTTATTTTAAATTATGAATGTTTTTATTTTATGCCAAATGTTATAACAAATCGTGCTTGAGTAGAATTCATGTTTAGACTCCGGGTATAAATACCAAACCCCGGCTATTGTAAAAACAACAATCAATCAAATGCAAGTCAATTACTTTTTTTGGCTCCGGCCACCCCTTAGGAGTAGGAGTAGAGTAGATCTCGATGAGTTCTTCAGCGAGTACAGCTGCATTGATCCGGTCGACCTCCACTGCTTGTCTGTAAGTACCGTCATGGTTTATACCTCTGTTCGTATGGCTGCATCGATCCGGTCGACCCCCACTGCGACTCTAGTACAGGCTAGTTATCGACTCTTGTCTAATTCAAGTATGACCTATGTGATTCTGCCTCACACCCCACTGCTTGAATTAGATCAAGGTCAAGTTATCGGCTCTACCTTAGTATGGCAGTCTTTGGTAGATTCATCAACTTACCGATATTGCTTATTGCTTTCATTGTTTATCTAATTACAGCAATATCACTCTGCCCGATTGAGATTGATCTGGATCGGCCTTATATCTTATTTAACACATCATTTGCTAATCTAAAATTGATCTAATCTACATCTTAAGTGATGAGTTATGTTTTCATCGGCTGTTTTGCGTCAATCTTAATCGTGCATAGCGTGCGGTTAAGGCATGTCCGATCTTGAGTAGATCTATTAGTTAATGAAAACCGTTCCATGGCCTGCATGATTAAAGTAGAGATAAGTTGAAAGATATGTTAGCCCCATGATCTTGTTATTGTATTACGGCCTGCATGATTCTGCCTCATGCCCCACTGATATTAGTAATAAGTTAGGGTCGTTGAGTCTATTGTTGTTTCTACGGCGTGCATGATTCTGCCTCATGCCCCACTGGTCATGGCGATAGATGAGATCTAACATGTTCATTAGATTTATCTTTATTAAATGGTCAAGTGATGTTGAATTGTTTCTTTATATAAAAAGGAGTTCGGTTACTTATAATCATTGGCTCAGTATAAACCGATCATCATTGATATCTTATTGCCATTGATTAATATTTGCTTAAATAATATTTATCCTGAATGATAACCGATTCTTCTTATACAACCCCATGAGCTTTAATCGATTTATTCTTATGAATATGCTAGAATCGACTATTTAGTCGATCTCCTCTTATATCGGCTCTCAGAGTCGCATATTCGGGACTGTCTGGCAACACCGGCACGTTCCGCCCTTAATTACTGATGAGGTTTCTCTCCTTGTCAATTGCATGGTCAAATTGACTGGCACGTCTCGAGAGGATTACGCAGGATCGACCACCCTTGCGCTGAAGCTAGGCGGATCTGCTCCATCGAGCGGACCCTTCCGGCTTGCTGCGTGTGTCCTCGGCACGGAGACAAAAATTCTGTGTCGACACACGTTTCTGGCACGCTCGGTGGGACCCCACAATCGTCATGGCGGCTCACAACAACGACAACATCCTTATATTACATTATGAAGACCTATATGATGAAGATAAGGATACCATCAGCAAAGCTACAGAAGAATTTCAGAAGAAGTGTTTGTTGTCCTACACCAAAACACGTGACATCACAATTATTCAGAAATATCCACTACCAAGAGTTTTAGTACACGGGCAGACAAATACAGTCAAACCTGAAGACAGGCGTTTCTTTACAAAAGCCATAGACAAATCTGTTCGTGATGCCATATCAAACAGCAATGAAGCTTTCGTTGACGCATTTCACAACACCATGAAAGAGGTGATTCATGGAATTCCTGTTGGTCAGGTTGGATCGACTTGTTATAATATTCCAGATCCATCGACCCAAGGGACTAATCAAGTCGGTACCGGCCATCAAGAAGCAGCACCAGCTGGTAATGATGACGTCCAAACACTTCAAGGTTCATCTGAACAAACTCCAGGTACTACTACGATCAGATACAGTACAATCCTGGACCGTCAATACAGCATGTGCAACAGTCGGCGGGGCAAGGTCAGAATCAGGTGATCAATTTTGGCACATCAGGCCACATACCGTCGTCGGCTCAAAAAATAGCACCATCAATTCAAAGGATCCGTAGAGATTTAGATCCTTATGTCTATAATCAGAGACTTCAAGCAGCAAGCCAGTAAATGACCCAATAGATTGAGATTCCATAAGGCTATCACTATAGCACGGATTATAACACACTCCACATGATGCTAAATCCAGGATATCAAGGCACGCGGGATTTCAATCCACAGATGGGCCAACAAGTACCGATAAATCCAAATCTGCAAGCTAACAAGTTGCTACTGAAGGTGACCGAGATGATGAAGAATCAGTTCGGTCTGAAGCCAAAAGAGCTGACCTTTTCGTACAAACACCCATATCTAGAATGGTATGATTTGGTCGCTCTTCCTACAAATTACAGGCTCCCAGAGTTTGCCAAGTTCACTAGTCAAGACAGTATAAGCACAATAGAATATATCAGTCGGTATCTTACACAATTGGGCTAAGCGTCAGTTGAGGATGCCCATCGAGTTTGTTTCTTCTCCTTATCCCTGTCAGGGCCAGCCTTCACTTGATTTTCATCACTACCGGTCAACTCCATTGCCAATTGGGCTGACCTAGAAAAGAAGTTTCATACATATTTTTACACTGGGACTGGAGAGAAGAAGATAACCGATTTGACAACCATGAGACAGAGGACTAATGAATCAGGCATTGAGTTTCTTCAGAGATTCCGAGAGACTAGGAACTTTTGCTTCTCATTGAACTTGGCCGATGATCAGCTAGCTGCTTTAGCTATCCATGGAATGTTGCTAATGTGGAAAGAAAAGCTGCTAGGACAAGAATTTGACAACTTGGGTCAATTAGCTCAACGAGTAGCAGCGCTCAATAGCCAATTCCAGAGTATGCGCAGAGATACCCGATTCCAGAAGAGTACCACTGTAGCCGAAGCTTACGATCCATACTTAGCAGATGACAGCTATGAAGATGAAGAAGAGGAGGTTGCTGCAGCTGAATGGAATTGAGGCAAGAAGACAGTAATGGTGCCAAATCCTTGGGGAAGAGGAGTCGAGGAGAGCTATGACTTTGATGTTACAAAATCGGACAAGCTCTTTGACTTCTTACTTGAGAAGGGCCAGATCAAATTGCCGGGCAATCATGTTATGTTGCCCCCTGAACAGTTGAAGAATAAGAAGTTCTGCAAGTTCTATAATGCTACTTCTCATTCCACTAATGAGTGCAGAATTTTCCGGCAGCATATACAGAGGGCTATTCAGCAAGGGAGACTCAAGTTTGATACACCTCGGAAGATGAAGGTGGATGATAATCCTTTCCTAGGAGATCAAAATATGGTTGATGTTGGGCTATTCAAAGGGAAAACTAAGGTCCTAACATCGGCCAAATCAAGAAAAGATGGAACAGTCGATCCCAAGATGCAAATATCGACTGATGAATACAGAGAGATTAGAAGACGTCGTGATCAGCAGAGGAGCTGATATGAGCAGGGGGAAACGTCAAAGGATGGAGCAACGGAGCCGCGAGTCACATCTCGGATCCTGTTGAATAAGTGGTGGTGGTAGAAGGAAAAAGATT